CACGCTGGACCTCCTAATGTTCGGTTGTTGAATGAACTTGAAGTGGCCCCATGACCTCTGTGAAGTGATCAGATCCCGGCAGTCTCTTTAGTTTTCTGAGTCTCTATTCAGTGCTCTCTGTATTTGGCTACGGGACACAGAAGTTTCCTTTCCTTTGATCCCGTTTTCTCATGAAAAAAACAAAAAACAAAAAACAGGTCACCCTGCTCTTTTTTTTTTTTTTTTTTTTTTTAAGATTTTATGTATTTATTTGACAGAGAGGAACAGAGCGAGAGGGAACACAAGCAAGGAGAATGGGAGAGGGAGAAGCAGGCTCCCCGCTGAGCAGGAAGCCTGATGCGGGGCTCGATTCCAGGACCCTGGGATCGTGACTTGAGCCGAAGGTAGAGGCTTAACTGACTGAGCCACCCGGGTGCCCGCATGTCACCCTGTTCTTGCAGTGGGAGGGTGAAGCTCATTTTTTAGCAAATCGCACAGCTTAACCGGGAGCACGTTTCCCCACCCTGAGAATTCTTGTTGTCGGCCAGACAGTAGCTTTGGAGCGCTGGGTCACCCACCAGGGTTTTAGATGGTACGTGTCGGAAGTGTAATTGCCCAGGTAACGGTCAGCCGCAGCGACGGCTTCTGTCTAGACGTTCCGGTGTATTGTCTGGTGGGCTCTGCAGCATCGCTCTGGAAGGCATCGACCGGCCACACCCTCACAATTTGCACTCCAAGAAACTCCATCCTTACCGCGGGCCTCACAGATGAGTAAATAAGATGTGTGGTTATTCCCCACAATTTGGCTGGACTTGTACCGAAGGAGGGGATTTTTTCTGGTGATTATACAGCGGTTTGCGGGCCAGGGTGAGGGCGATGGTCTGATGAAGTCATGACTGCTAGCCCGGCCCAAGTCGTCAGCGCTGGGAAGGCTCGGCTAGACGGAGAAAAGCGCTGGAGCTCGCATCCTGTTGCGCCAATATTTACTGTTGCCGAAACTGACCTTCTCGGGACTCTTCCGTCTGGGACTCTTCTGTCTGCGTCGGTTTCCAGCAGAGCGCACTGAGAAAGCTGTCTCATTCTTCCAGTGGGGCCTTTTCCATAGTCCCATCTTGACTCTTCACGGTTTCTTGTTGGTGGGAGCGTCTGTCCCTACGCTGCCTTTTGTCTCCTAAGAGTTATGAAGAAGAAGTTTGGTCCTTAATCAAAACAAAGGCACGGCTCTGCCCCCAGGAACCTCTCCTGGGCCCCACCTGTAGGCTCCAGGCATGGGTACACAGACCCAGGCTTCCTGGACCACGCAGCCACAGTCCATGTTCCTGCGGACAGTCATCCTTAGGCGGACCCCAGTTCGGTCATCCAGGGAGAGAATTTTTCTGGTCCCTCAGCAGCGGGAAGGCTGCTCTGCTGGGTGGCCTGGACGTCCATGTGTCATTCCATCACTCAGAGATGTTTACCTTGTATGTGCCCAGCACTGTGCTCGCAGCAGGGCACGGCAGGGGACGGGACAGGCCAGGTCTCAGGCTTTGAGGAACTTACATGCCATCGGAACTTGTCAGTGAACAAGTAAACAAACACAATGACCTCACAAGCTGGTTAGGGCCCTGAGAAAACGGTGCCTCCTTCCTGTGAGAGACAGAGTTTGCCAGGCAAGAAGCTGTTGATGGCGAGCATGAAGGGAAACCACGGGTGGTGGTCACCTCTCACCTCTGCGTGTGGCAGACGGGAGTGTTGCTTAAACCACAGCGGTTAGGAGCTCAGGCTCTGGAATCAGGTAGGATCTTACTCATCTTCTGACTTTGGACAAGTTAACCCCCGTGCATCAGTTTCTTCATCAGGGACATGGGAAGATTAAACCTGCCTTGTCAGTTTCAAGTGGAGATGACCTGAGGTGCTAGATGGAAGCAGGTGTGGCCCCGTCCTGACCGTCCTGGCTGGTCCCTGATGAAAGCTAGTCTGTTCTCTTCGGTGATGGAGTAAAATTAAGTCATGGTAGAGGATTCACAGAATGGTCTCTGCGCTCTTGAATACCCACTTCTGACTTGGTTCCTGTCCGGTGGGCTGGGGGGGGTGTGTGGGGGTCAGATCTAGTTTCCTGGGTTGGCTCGGTAGGTCCTGGTTACTGTGGGTTTCTTCTCACCATGCCCCATGTGCTCTTGGCTCACCCTGTTGGAAGAGTGTGTCTGTAATACGAAGGGGAGCTCGTGGTTTCAGGGCAGAGTCAGTGAGGGGGTAGGACTGAGATGTAGATCAGCTAGATGATGTGGTAGGTGGGGGCTGGTTTTAGGTTTGTGCCCTGTCATGGTCGGGGTCATGGTCACGCTGCCTTGTCTCTCAGAGGTGCTTGGTTCTGTAGGGCAGTCAGTCAGGGTAGGGGCTGAATGGAGAGCTGGCGATGCCAAGGGGCTGGTGGCCACCAGCTAGGTCGAGCTCTTCATCAACTGGTAAGCCAACAGACCTCAGGAAGGGAAGTGACTTGCCCAAACCCACAGTGACTGGTTTGTGGGGGCTTACGTCACACCTGATAGAGCCCCCTGGGGAAGGGTGTGAGAGGGCTGGTGGTCAGAGCTATGATGGGATAAAATAAAGGTCCCAAACCTCTACGTTAGGACCCTAAAGTGCGAGTGGGCTTGGTGAATTTGTTTGCGACACTTTCAAGCCACAGGATTTCGCATTTTTTAAAAACCTGGATTTTTGGCATCTGTTGGAAAATTCAGATCTGGCAAAATTGAGCTTGTGTCCTGAAGTGGCAAAGCCAGACTGGATTGAGGAGGGACTGCCTCTTGTAGCCCGGACAGGTCCCGCCCACTGTCTGTGATGTTCTACAAAGTGTGGCCAGTTTGGGACACGTGGGGCAAAAAAGGGAAAGAAATTGGTCTTCCTTTCATTTTCTTTTTTTCCCCTAGGGTTTGTTTTTCTGACCTGTGTGTCCCTGTACAAGACAACTCCTCTTATAAAATAAGTGAAGAAATAAATTTGTGTTGAGTGAATGAACTCTAACTGATCGCTTATTTGGGATCAGAAGCCGAGTTCAAATCCGTACTTCTTCCAAGCAGCTGAGTGACTTTGAACAAATTAATAACCTTTGTGTTTTGTCTTTTGTGAGTGGGGTGGGAAGCATCACTGTTGTTTTACTTATTTATTTGAATATATTGTACATTTTCGTGTTTCAAAATCAAAGGTGCAAACAGGTTTGCAGAGAAGAGTCTTCCCTGTGTCCCTGTCACTCAGCTCTTTTCCTTGGGGGAAACAGGTTTTCTCAATTTCTGGCTTGTCTTTCCAGAGATACTTTATGCAGTGCAATGAAATATATAAATGCTCTTTTCATCTTCTTTTACTTAGATGGTAGCATAATATACACACGATTCTGTGTTTAGCACACTTTCATTTGGACGGGAAATGAAATGAAATGAAAACTACAGCCCGTAGTTTTCCCATTCGTTCTTCAAGCTACGTGGGATTCTAGCGTGTGGGACACCCAGGTTTCCATAGCCAGGCCTCTGTTGCTGGGCATCTGCGTTATTTCCCATCTGCCACAGTTGTAAAGAAGGTGGTGGTAAAAACCCTGGTTATGTAAGTCACTTGACACACCTAGAGTAAAATTTCTGGAAGTAGAATTGCTAGGTCAGAGAGCATAGCCTTTGTCCTTATGGTAGATCTTGTCAGATTTCCATTCCTAGCAGCTGCCCCACACTGTTCTCCTTGCAGCAGTGTGTGGCAGTGCCTGTTACCCCATATCCAAGTCATAGGTCATCTCCTGGAACCCGCGAGGGTTTTGTGAACACAGTGTGTTATGAAAATTATTAACACTAGCCATGATTATAAGGGAGGGGCCTTGGATTGGCCACATGAGATCTAGGTTATTTCATGGAGATGCGCACACCACTCTTTTGAAGATGAGGAAGCTTTTTTTTTTTTTTAAGATTTTATTTATTTATTTAATAGAGAGCACAAGCAGGGGGAGCAGCAGAGGGAGAAGGAGAAGCTGGCACCCCGCTGAGCAGGGAGCCCCATGCGGGGCTCAATTCCAGGACCTCAGGATCGTGACCTGAGCTGAAGGCAGACGCTTAACTGACTGAGCCACCCAGACGCCCCTGAAGATGAGGAAACTGAGTCATTTACTCAGGTCACCCAGATAATCAATTGCAGAGGTTGGATTCAAGCCCAGATTTCTTAGATTTCAATACCAGGATATTTCATATGGTAAAGCCTTGTGTAATTTTGGGTGCTGGTATTCTCAGCTGACAGGTACGTACAGTTCCCGAGTCTCCCAGCAGTAGTGCCTCTCATGGTGGCTGGTTCATTTGCTCATTCTTCAAGTGTCTGCAGAATTCCTACACTGTACCAAGTGCCTGGGAACAGGATAGACAGAGTCCTTGCTTTTATGGACCTCACAAAAATAATAACTAATTCTGTAGTCCTTTACTGGGTGACAGGACAACAAAGGGGGTGAGGAGGGTGTTCTCTGGGGTCATGTGACCTAAGCTAGAGTGAGGGGAAAGAGAGCTCTCTGAGCAAGTAAAAGACAGGTGATAAAGGGTCTGTGGGTTTGAGCCTGGAGAAGTGGATGGGAAGTATTTCACACGGCATCGTATATGCAAAGGTCCTGAGGCAGGGAAGAACAGGTCGTGTTGGAGGAAATGAAAGAAGACCGATGAGCTGGGGTGCAGAGTGGCAGGAGGTGAGGTTATGAGGATGGGGTTTAGGGATTTATTCTGAGAGCTGTGGGATGCTTCGAAGGCATGGGAGCAACAAAGTGACATGGGTATCAAGGGCCCTGGGTCGTGAGTTTCTTGCCATAAGCTATATGATCTTAGACAAGGTAAACATTGGGCACATCCATTTCCTTCTCTGTTAGGTGGGGATGGTCACAGTACATGGAGCCTTTCAAACATTCAGCTGTTACATACAGTATAAAGTAAGCAATTCATTTAGACTCCGCGCACATGAGCGCACGTGTAATATACATGCGTCCCCAAGATGTGACGCACTCTAATACTTTCTGTCCTCATCTGTTAAAGGTTTTGGCCGAGACCCCCTAAGTTCATGTTGGAACCACTGAGAGAATATGTCAAGTGTGTGTTTCACAGCGGGCCCTTGGTAAGTGGAGCTGTCACTCTCCTCACCCGCGTTACCATCGAGATGGCTCTGGCGGCGACCAGAGCAGACTGGGCAAATCTTGACGGTGCTGAAGGACACTGGCCCTTTCGTGTCTGTGTTCAGGTCCCAGGGAAGGAGCTGCACCCGGGGTCTCCTGACTGCGGGAGCTCCTGAGGGGGAAGTGTAAATTCGGCCTTCTCAACAGTTTCCCTGGGAACTGGCCTCTCCTTGTTTTCTGGGCCTTCCCATCGACTGTGTTTTCTCAGTTTTCTTTGACTTCTTTGTTATTTACCCTCAGAATGGCTTTTTCCTGGAAGCCTCAGAGTCATTATAAGCCACTCACTTCTTTATTTTAAGTTGGGCCATGGTTCTACTTCCCCTTTCAGAGTGTAACGTTGGAGCCTGAGTGGAACTGATTTGCATTTTCTACTAAGTACATTGCCGTCCTCGGCCCTCTGGGCTGGCCTGCAGGCCTGTGCCCTGCTCCCCGGGCCGAGGCCGCTGGGAGGAGAACGTGAGACACCACTGGTTTTTTGTTTCTGTTTTTTTTTTGTTTGTTTGTTTTTGGTTTTTGTTTGTTTGTTTCCCCTCCAAGAAACCGGTCTTGGTCTTGGATCCCGTGTGTGGAGGTTTTCAAAGAAATCCCTGTGCAGTGAGCCTGGGGAGCAAGGCCAGTGAGGGGAACCGCCACAGCCCTTCATGTGTCCGGGACCCCAGCTTTCTAGATAACATAAGCACCCACCACTTCACCATTTACATCCTTTTAGAAGCACATGTCTCTAAATGTTAACTGGTCCTTCACAGGAGAACAGCCACCGAAACACTGGTTTCTTTAACTCTGACACGTTAGGCAAGGAAATTTTTGTGATGATGATGATGATGATGGTGTTGGTGGTGGTTGTGGCCAAATTGTGTGCCCCCCCCGCACCCCCCTCCGCCGCCGCTTTGTATGTTCAGAACCTAGCTCCTGGTCCCTTCAAATGTGACTGTATCTGGAAGTAGGGCTTTTAAAGAGGTGATGAGGGGCGCCTGCGTGGTTCAGTCAGTTAAGCGTCTGTCTTCAGCTCAGGTCATGATCTGAGGGTCCTGGGATTGAATCCCCGCATCAGGCTCCCCTGCTCAGTGAGGAGTCTGCTTCTCCCTCTCCCTCTGCCATTCTACCCCCCCCACCCCCCACCCCGCTGGCCTGTGCTCTCTGGCTCTACCTCTCTGTCAAATGAATAAATAAATATATAAATAAAGTCTTAAAAAAATAAAAATAAAGAGGTGATAAAGTTAAAGTGAGCCTCTTAGGTGAGCCCTAATCCAGCCCGACTGGTGTGCATATATGAAAAGGAAATTTGGACACACACACGCAGAGATGGACGTACATAGAGGGAGGGCCCTGCGAGGACACAGAGGGAAGGTGGTGATCTGTAAGCCAAGGAGGAGGGCCTTAGCAGAAGCCAACTCTGCCGACACCTGGATCTTGAGCTTCTGGCTTCCAGATCTATGAGGAAATTCATTTCTGTTGTTTATGTCATGCAGTCTGCGGTCTTTGGTTGCAACAGCCTGAGCGGGTTATCACCGTGGTGGTGGCGGGGTAACAAAAATAAAAAGAATAGGTGGCATTTATCAAGCACTTGCTGTATACTGGGACTGTTCTAAGCCTTACTTGAGTCATCTCTTTCACCCCTCGTACCAATCCTAAGTCACCTGCCAGGTCACACAGTAAGTGATGACACCTAGCCCGGCTCTGGCACCTTTGCTCAGAACCTTCACTGCACCCACTTGTCACCCCTAATAGTTCCTGGATCCCTGCCAGGTTACTTCACAGCTCCTCTTTCTCGTCGCCACAGGTCTCCAAAGTAACTCTTCCTGTTCCCCCTTTTCTGGATGTCGAGACTGCAGTCAGAGTGGTCCCAGGCCGCACCGTGAATATATTCATTTCTCGCGGCTGCAATAAGAAATTACCACAACCTTGGTGGTTTAAAACAGGATCAAGGCGTTCTGTTGTAATTCCGGAGGTCCGAAGTCCAGAAGTAAGGGGTCCCTGGGCTGTGCTTCCTCCGGGGGGCTCTGTGGGAGAATCTGCATCGTTCCTTTCCAGCTGCTGCCTGTGGCTGCTGGCGTCTTTTGCCCGCGTGTTGTAAGGATACATGTGATGGCATTTGTGGCCCACCTGGCAAATCCAGGGTGAGCTCCTTCTCTCATGATCTTTAATGGAATCACGTCATTTATCATCTAATGTAATATTCAGAGCTCCCGGGGAATGAGAAGTGAGTATATCTCTGGGGCAGCAGGCTTCCTGCCTGTCACCGTTAGTGAGCAGCAGAATGTTCCTCGATGCCAGGGCTTGCCTGATTCCAGAGCCACTCGTGGCCATCATCCTTGGAAGCTACGGCCACGAGACCTGCCAGCTCCCTTTCTGCCCCGCTGTTTCTGGCTAGAGCGGCAGTGGGTGTTAGAGGCATGGGGTCCCCGAAACTGGTGGATATGTTCATTCTTTGTAGGAACAAAAAACTGGAAGCCACCAAAATGAGGATTGGTTACGTCAAGTGTGGTATCCCCCCAAAAGGAATAAAGGAACCATTAAAAATAATGAAGTAGGTTAGTATGTGGTGATACGGGAAGATAGCCATGATGTCTTAAGAGGAAAGAACAGATTACCCATTTTTATTCAGATAGTGTGTAGACACGTGTGTATGGCGTTAAAAATTACATTAAAATAAAGTCGCTTCCTCAGCCACATTGGCCACGTCAGAAGTGATCATTGGCCACGTGGCTAGTAGCTACACCTTGGACCGCACAGATCTAGAACATGTCCGTCCTTTCGGCAAGTTCTGGGCAGGGAGCTTCTTGACACTAAGTGTCCAGAGTAAGGCCTTTTTCACTTTGTATGTTATAGATTTATGTGCATGTTTACTTTTTTTACGATAAGTAAGTAGATGTGCTGTTATCAGAAAAATAAGAACACGGGGGGCTTCCAAGGTAGCATCCTCTTTCTTAAGCAGGTGGAGGTTTATCATTGTTTACGACGCATGTATTTGCATGTGTGTATAAATTCCTTTTTACGTATATTACATAATGAAAATATTTTAACATATATACGGGAAAAAAGAAGAATGTTCTGGCAGGACAGGCTTGAGGTTGGAGGACTTGGGGTCAGATCTGGTTCCCCACCCTAACTGCCTCCCAGCTGTGGCCAAATCACGTAGCCTCAGTTTCCTGACCTGACAGGATCCCTTCTCGACCTGCCGTGCAGGGTTAGGGTAAGATTTACGAGTGTGGCGATGTGTGGAAACACACTGAAACTGAGGGACGGCCACCTGGAGGTGAAGGTTCAGTAAAGAAGTGCGTTGCCGGAGGTGTGAGGGGGCACGGCCTCGGCTCTGTGACCACGATGGCAGCTTGGAGGCCTTGCGTCCTCCTGAGCAGAGTGTTTTCCAGATGTCAGTAAGGTTACCAGAAACGGGGCAATGTTGCTGTATTTCCACTGCTGTCATTGCTTGGAAATGTAGAATAACAAGTTATCTTATTTATTTAACAAGCACTTACATAGCTGTTTGCCACGACCTATCCTCTCTAAGTGTTTTACGAACACTACTCATTTTATCCTCCTACAATGCTGAGGTAGTCACCCTTAGGGTGCTCATTTCGTGCAGAAGGATGTCAAGGCTCAGAGAGGTCAAGTGACTTACAAAGGTCACGGAGCTGGGGAGGAATGGAGTGTCTAACTAAGGCAGTCCACACTTTCTCTTTTCTTCCCTTCTCCTCACGGCTCCTCTGGCTCCTGTCAGATGTGGTCCTAGAGTTCCTTACGTCCGTTTATCTGTCTCAGGCACATGAGATTTAAACAGAAATGAAATCTCATGAGTAGGTGTTCTTGACTGACGTGGTAGTTTCTGGTTCCTGGCTGAGTGTGGTAGCATGACAAAATGGGAACAGGCTATGGAGTTAGGTCAGTCTGGACACCAGTAAGCAATCCTGTCACCTGGCTTTGTGACTTCTGGCAGATTACTCGGATCTTGAAGTGGGGTTCTGTGAGGGTGGTAAGTTCACCTGCTGAGACAGTGCTTGGCACCACGACAGTCAGGCCGTCGGTGCCTCATGTGTTCCTATCCTTCCTTCATCTGTGTCTTGGGCAGGGAGCTTAGGCTTGAGGATACGGAGACGAGGAAGGGCCGGTGCCTCTTTAAGGAGGTTATGGAACAGCCTAGATGGGACCTGGGGAACTTTCTAGATCTGTAGCTGGGGAACCTGAGTTCTAGCCAGTGCCAGCTCTCCTATCTCAGAGACACCGGACAAGTTGCTCTGGTCCTCTGGGCTTCACTTTGGCCATCTGCACACAGGGCTCTGTCTTGTCATTTTCTGATCTGTCATGGTTAGGTCAGGACCAGTCTGTGCCTGAGGGGCCAGCGCAGTGGTAGCAGGTGGATACGGTGGGTGGGGCACAGCACCCGCTTTTCCCTTCAGGCTGCTCCTGTCCATGCTTGGGGAGGCCTCCTGACTCTCTCCCGAAGCAGGAATGGTGCAAAAAAGGCAGCTTCCCACAGTCTTCAGCCAGTCGGGGTCTGCGGGTGGCAGATGTCACAGGTGACAACAGAGTTGGCGGCAGCTGCCTGTTGTGTGTCACTCTGCAGCTGGTGACAGGGTGTGGGGGCTGCGCTTATTATTCTTAGGGCTGAAAATTATTCTTATTTAAAAGGGGCCTCAGGTGGATGGGGCTACCCGCCCATGTGCCTTGGTGGATACGTACACAGCCTGGAGCGCGAGGCCTGGGGGCTGCCGACCGAGCAGTGGAGGGGAAAGGAGCCAGCCCCACAGTCCTCTGTGTCGCACAGCTTCCTGGGGATGTGGCTGTTGCAGCAGGGAGCCAGGAAATAAACACGTGGACGGCCCATTCAACTCACCTTTCTATTTCCCTGTAGCAGTGCCCTGAGTGGGAGGCTGCTCGGTCACCTCAAGTCTCAGGTCCTTGTAAAAGGAGTTAATATCCTGTAATTACACCAATGTATTGCACTTAGCAGGCCCGTTTAAAGAAGGGCAGCAAAATGGATCCTCTTTCAACAGTGGGACCTTTACTGGGCAAATGAAATCCCAAAGCCAGCCGGTAGAAGGCTTCTGAAGGGGCTTCATGGTTTTATTTCTTCTTTGCCTTGTCTGATGATTTGCAAAGATCTTTCCAAATTCCAGTGGCACTTGTGTAGTCGTTGAGACTTGGAAATGGAGCAGGCCTATTTTGATTTCTGCGGTACGTACTGATAATACTGATAGATTTTAGTCGCTGTGGGTTCATCCTGAGAAGCAGGTGGAGGGACTGATCGAGTCCCACATCGGACTCCTTGCTCCATGGGGAGCCTGCTTCTCCCTCTGCCTGCTGGGCTCTTGCTTTCTCTCCTTCAAATAAATACAACCTTAAGATTAAAAAAAAAAAAAATCTGAGACTGAAATGTTAGGAGCAGAGGTGCCGAAGAAAACGTGCTTTGGGCGTGCCATTCTGCTGGGTACATCACACAATCTCATGTCTCCTCTCCTCAGTCCTGCGCGGGTGTCACTGCTCACAGCCTTGGACTCTTGGGCTCCACGTGCTCCAGGTCATGCAGCTGGGTGGGGCCTGGTTAAGACTCAAACCCGGATTCATTCCAAAGCCATTGCCATTAATCACAAAGTCATCAAGTTCTGGGAACTGCTCAGGGGACAGTATCCTTGAACCCAGCCCTGCAGGATAATATAGATCTAGATAAGGAGAGAAGAAAAGGAAGGGAATTCTGGGCAAGGGAAGCAGTAAAAACGGTCAGAAGCTAGGGAGAGGGAAGAAGCATGGCGTGGAACCCTGCCCACTGGTGGTGAGCTCTACCGGGCAGCGACCGTGTTGTCCAGAGCCACCACTGCATCCCTAGTACCTGGGTGAGTGGCTGGTGCATGATGTGTGGTCAGTAAATATTGCTTGACGATAGAGCCACCCTATGATCCAGCAGTCACACCACTGGATATTTAAAAAAAAAAAATACGGAAACGCTAATTCAGAGGGATACGTGCGTTCCTATATTTATAGCAGCATTATCTGCAGTAGCCAAAATATGGAAGCAGCCCAAGTGTCCACGGACTGATGAATGGATGAAGAGGACGTGGTGTATAAAGACAAGGCAATATTACTCAGCCATCAGAAAGAATGAAATCTTGCCGTTTGCAACATCATGGATGGAGCTAGAGTGTACTATGTTATGCTAAGTGAAATAAGTCCGCAGAAGAACAATACCATACGATTTCACTCATATGTGGAATTTAAGAAACAAAGCAAATGAGCAAAGGCAAAATAGAAAGGGAGGCAAATCAAGAAACGGACTCTTAACTATAGAGAACAAACAGGGTGACCGGAGGGGAGGTGGTGGGGGGTGGGGGGAACAGAGGCTGTGGGTTAGGGAGGACCCTTGTCATGAAGAGCCCCAGTGATGCGTGAAGGTATTGAATCACTGTGTCGTACACCTGAAACCAACACTGTATGTCACCTTTGCTGGAATTAAAATTTATAAAAAAAAAAATCAGGAAACAATAATTATTGTGTATATGGATACACAGACATTTGTGTTCTCAGTAGACCCTGAGCCTCTTGAGGGCAGGGACTATGTCTTAGAAATCTGGATGCTCCACAGCTCCCAGTGGTTAATCGATGACGAACACTCAGTAAATATGTTCTGATGGAATGAATGAGTGAATGGCAGGTAAGGGATGATGAGATGGGCCCGAGTGAGGAGGCACTGATGCTTCGGGAAATACTGCCCATGCAGTACACACGGGCTGGCATGCTCAGGGCAGATCATGGAAGGTCTTTAGTGCCAGGAGAAGGAGCTCCTGTGTTCTTTTTTTAAGGCGTTTTTTTTGTTTGTTTGTTTGTTTTGTTTTTTTTAAAGCCATCTCTTGGGACGCCTGGGTGGCTCAGTTGGTTAAGCGGCTGCCTTCCGCTCAGGTCATGATCCCAGAGTCCTGGGATCAAGTCCCACATCGGGCTCCTTGCTCAGCAGGGAGCCTGCTTCTCCCTCTGCCCTGCCTGCCACTCTATCTGCCTGTGCTCACTCTCGCTCTCTCTCTCTCTCTCTCTCTCTGACAAATAAATAAATAAAATCTTTAAAAAAAAATAAAATAAAAGCCATCTCTTAATGCACAGTGATGCGGGGTCTACAGAAACCCAGCCAGTGCCCAGACCTTGGTGTCAAGCACCAAGACCACCGTCAAGCACAGCGTAGAAATCACTTTTCTGTAGGATTGCCTTAACCTATGCCCGTTGTCACTGGCTTCCCACCTTGTGGTAAGCACAGTGTTATAGTCGAAAGGAGACCCGTGAAAAACCTGTGAATGGGAGCTTGTAGGGGATGGATGTTATTGCCGGGTGCTGGAGTCATTTTTAAAATGGTGTGGCTGGAAAATCCCTGCCAATCTCCTCTAAAATTATCTGCTCAACCTGGGACTTTTCAATAAAAAGCATCCTTTCTTTTCAGGTGTTGGCTAAATTTGTGGTTTTAAGAAATCCTGAGAACCGGAGGGCAGTCCTGGGAGAAGCCCTTCCCGGGGGCACTCGGAACCTTCTGGTCCAGAGGAGAAGGCGTTCCCCTCACCTGGACTTATGACCCGAGGCTTCGCTCCCAGTCTGCCCACTGAATTCCACAAGATGGGCTCCTTCCGCAGGCCCAGGCCGCGTTTCATGAGCTCCCCAGTGCTCAGCGATCTGCCCCGGTTCCAAGCAGCCCGGCAGGCTCTGCAGCTCAGCTCCAACTCGGCCTGGAACAGGTAACGGGGAGGGGACGATTGTCATGAAGTGGACGGTGGCCAAGGGCCAGAGCAGGGCCTGGGGACCGGCTTAGCTTCTGCTCCTTTGGAGAGCTCTGTTCCAGAAGGTCGTGATTGTACAGCTAGACAGCTGTTGAAGAAAGCACGTTTTCCTGTGGACGACGTGTCCGCTGCCTTCCCTTGTTTGAGCCCCTGGAGGCCTCTGGGCTACCAGAGTCAGTTAACCGGCCCAGGACAGTTGGGTTGGAATTGACGGCTTCTGTTCCTGCTCCTTAGTCAACCAACCCCAGACTATTCGCATACCCAGGGGTGGGCCCGAGTAAGGAACCTCAAGTCACCTGTTACCTCTCTGAGAAGGTAAGACATAAGCCAGATGAGTGGTATCATGAGCCACAGGTGCATGGGGAAGGAGATACTGGCTTTTATGCAGTGTCTGGCCGATGTTTTATACACCAAGCAATGAGTGGAGACAGAATCAACACCACGTTTTGCATCCCTCTGGGCTGCTGCTTTCGTATCTAGCCATTACTCTTTGGATGAGTTAAATGCTTCATGATTTTAACTGACCGAGCCTCCCAGGCACCCAGCATATCATTATTTTAAAGCATTACTGAATTCTTTGTACTTTGACTCATTCTGGATTTTCTCATGAATGCACAACTCTCGCAATGGGGCTGAAGATGGGGCTCTGACATGTTTCGCTGTGAATGGATCTGTGTTCTTAAAAAAAAAAAAAAAAAAGCCCTGGGATCCTTGATAAAGAAGAGATTGCGGTCTGCTGCTTGCTGACATATTGGGCTGGTGCCGCAGAGCCTGTGGAGTCAAGACTTAGCTGTGGCCCTGCCAGGGACTAACCCACCGATACCTCCGCACCTCCCAGGAGGGGAATGGAAGGGGCAAGAGAGGCTAGCCTCAGTGAGACTCTTCCAAGGTAACCCTATCAAAAAGGCAAGGAAAAAGCAGTTCATATCAGCCCCAGGCACACAGGCTGCTCTGCGAGGACAGGGACCTCCTAAGTGAAGGAATCCCAGGCACTCTTGGCATCCGCTTGCGCCATTTTGGATTCCTCCAGGCCCAGCATCCTGAGAGCACATCCCAGCATCTATCCTTCGTGAGGGCTGCTTGCCAGAAGGGCGGCCGATGGGGCCAGTGAGGAAGACTGGCTTGCCTTTGAGAAACTTGGGGGGCAAGGTCTGCTTTTGGATCTTCTTGGTCTCACTCTTCCTGTCTCTCCAATGACCCGGGGAAGGAAATAATGGATTTCCAGGGATGGAAAATGGGGCCATGTTTGTGCCATGGGTTCCCTGGCCCTTGCACCTGCCTTTAGCCCTGAGCTGTTGATTGAGGCTGCCCTAGGCAGGCAGATCCTTTAACGAGGGCTCATTTCTGTTTCCCCCATAGCGTTCAGACTGCCGTGATCAATGTCTTCAAAGGAGGTGGCTTGCAAAGCAACGAGCTCTATGCACTGAATGAAAACATCAGGTACGTGGATGGCTAGGTCAGGGGCCATTTTCCACCTGTGGGCCTGAGGTTCCCCTCTGTGGGCCTGAGCTGGGGCAGTGGGGGCTGTCCGACTGGCAGCCTTAGCTTAAAGTTTTTATCTGCTTGGTTCTTAATGCTTCTGTCAACTTTTACTGGCTCATAGGGCTACTAAGCTCCAAGACCCTTATCTGTCTAGATAATAATGATCCATGGCGGGTTCATCCATTTATTCCTGTGTGGGGCACGGTGGGGGCAACCAGGGGGTGGAGGGTTGACATATGGCAGATGTCACATATGTCACATCTGTACATATGGATTGTGCCCTGCTTAACCATTAGGTGCCATATTGGGCAAGATGGCCTCATGGTTGAAACCAGACTGCTTGGGATTCTGTTGCCCTTGTGGCTTTTACTAACTTAAGTTTCTTACCAACTTCTTTGTTCCTCAGTTTCCTCTTACATGAAGTATGGATGGGAAATGTGCCTACTTCCATAGGATTCTTGTAAAGATTTAAATTGAGTTATTGTATAAATGACCTGTTAGGACAGGGTCGGAGCTCTTGAAGTACTGGGGGCTCTTATGACTGTGCGTGTTGTGGTGGTCATTAGGGTTAAGTTTTGGCGATACAACCCTCAATAAGATGTGGTCCTTGAGGGGTTTCTTATCTTCCAGAATCTTCTCAGTAGTGTCAGCTTTTCATAAATTTATTCACTCCTTCAACAAATATTTGAGTGCTGCTTATTGGCCAGGCACTGGAGAGACAGCACTGAGCAAAGACCGAGGTGGACCCTGCTGTCCTGTGATTTCAGTATTCAGTCAGGGGGACCATCACTGGTCAACTAATTATACCTATAAAATGTAAAAGTGCTATTGTGACAGCTGCTGTGAGGAAAGTACATCTGTATGACTCCCATCTTGCCGAGGCCAGGAGTGATGTCCTGCTTGTGCCATCTTCTGGAGGACCAGTGGGAATTCAACAGGTGAAACTGCAGGTGCAAAGGTCCTGTGGTGGCAGTGAGCCAGAAACCAAGAAAAGGCCTACGAGCAGAGACTGCCCAAGGTTTGGGGGTGGTATGGTCAGGTTTGTGTTTTGGTGAAATGAGGACAGAGAGAGGCAGGCACAGCCCAGAGCGCCAGAATCTCCTGGGGAAGGGGGTTGCGCATTAGGCCTTTTAATGTCCTAGTGTTCTTGCTTGTCTGGTGTGTTAAGTGCAAAACATCAAGGCTAAAGACCCAGCCCTGGAGTGGGCGGGACAATCAACACGGCCATTATTTGGGTCCTGTTTACATTTAGTGAAGATGTGTGTTTTAAGGGTCAGTGAGGTGTTTTAAGAGCTCTGCTTTCATTAAAACCTTTGGGGATCAGAAGTAAACTAAGGTGTGTTGAATTTCTACCCAGGAGCTTGAATTTCACATAGTAATTACACAAATAGGGAAGAGACAATAGAGCTTGTCTAGCCCAAGGCCTCCTTTTACAGAGAAGGAAACAGGCCCCAAGAAGTCAAGTGACGGGGCAAAGCAGGGTCAGCCAACCCCTGGGTTGCAGGAACTCTATTTTACTCCAAGAACTAAGATCCTGGCCTCCCCAGGAGGGTTCTTTAGCTCACAGTGGAAGTATAAATAAATAAAACAGTGACTCAGGAACGTGCTAATTGTTCCTCACTTCGGGAGACTGATCCTGAAATTGTACTTAAAATCTTTGTGGGCAGCGAGGAAAAGTACTGGCCCCGGAAGATTCCACCAGACCTTTTATCCCTGGGGAGTTGTTGCTAACTGAGAAGCCAGCAGGTGCCCAGCGCGTCTTCTGAATGTGGGAGGCTGGCTGGATGCACAGAGGTGAGAGTTGTCCCTATGTTGAAAGGGGATTGTGGATCGCCCTGGTAGGACATGGGGTGGGTGACATGTCAGCCTCTTTCTCAACCGGAAATTAAGACTTTTATGTGAAATTTCCTGGCTTTTAAGTGTTAATAAACAATCCAAATTTCCCCCAAACATTAGTACAGGTCAAACAAAACATATCTGTGGGCTGAATGGGACAGAGGCTGTGTGTTGACTCGAGGAGCCCCAGCGTGCGTGAAGGCCATGCTGATGAGGGCTGGGCTAGCACCAAGGTCACATGATGGGGGAAGGGAGCTCATCTGGAAAAGCACGGAGCACCTCTCACCTCCATCTGCCTACTCGACCCTCCTTACAGCCGTGTGAGGTAACTATTGTTCTTGTAGTTTATCCATAAACGTGTGGATAAGGAAAATAAAATAACTCTCATCCAAGGTCCCCCAGCTATGGAAAGGGCGGAGTCGGGACTTGAACCCCTGTCTCAGACACCTGTGTTCATCTGCTCAGGCTGCTGTAACCAGTGCCACAGGCGGGGTGGCTTCTACCATAGACATTTACTTCTCGCCGGTCTGGAAGCTGGGAAGTCTGAGGTCAACGTGCCCTCAGATTCGGTTCCTGCTGAGAGCCCAGGTCCTGGCAGCTCGCTCACTGTGTCCTCCCAGGGCCTCCTCCCCTTTGTGTTCAGCAAGCTTTCCCGTTTCGTCTTCTAAGGTCACTAATCCCATCTCGAGGGTCACACCCTTATGATCTCATGGAAACCAGATGACCTTTCAGAGGCCCCATCTCCAAGTACCAGCACAGGGAGAGGGGGGACTTCAACACAGGAGCTTGGCAGGGACACAGGTCAGCCCGGAGCAACACCTATGTTCTCAGTACCGCCTCCTAGAGTCGGAGGTTTCAGACTGGAAGAAAGTTTAAACGGATGGTCTTGGTCTTCTGCTTTCCTTTCACGAGGCCCCTGAGACCCTGTCTTTCATCATGTGCTGTGATTCTTAACCCCCGTCTGAGAAGCACGACCACCCCCCCCACCACCACCACTATTCCCTTCCATTGTTGGGTCTGGGGGCTGGGGGGCAGGGCTGGCTGTTCTTTCCTGCGTTTTGAGCAGTTTTCCGGCCGGTGAGAAGTGTGCGTGGCTGGGGCTTGAGGCTGATTGCCCAGATGTGACGTGAGCCCGGAAGATATCAAAGCTATCAAAAACCAGACTTTCAGCTGCCGACATTCTTGGCCTTCTCCAGGAGAGTGGTTAGGTTGGAGATGGGTTTTCACATCACAGACGCTCAGAGCCTGACTGGGAACGTGCTGGGCATGCCAGGCATTGGTGTGACCCGGTCCCCAGGGGAGTCAGGTGAGCCGGCCCGCATGCGTGCCCACATCTGCAGGTGCCTGCATGGGAATGAACACAGCTGCTCCTCATTTCAGCAATTAAAATGCCAGAACGGCCCTGCTGCTCTTCGTGGAGACATTTGGGTTTTGGTTTTCCTTTTTCTTTTCTCTTTTGGAAGTAGGTCCATAAACCCGACAGGGGGGAGGGATGCCCGGTGTGGAGGGTGTATGGGGGGGAAGGCGGGGGCACAGGACAGAAGGAACATAGGGAAGAGAATGTGGAGGGAGAGAAGACCAGTGATTCTCCAGCCCACTTTGCAGTCAGTTGTGATGGGTCTTCGTGCCAGAAGATCTGTGCCAGGTCCAGTAGAATTTTTTAACTTGTTAAGAGTCGTGCCTAGGGGCGCCTGGGTGGCTCAATGGGTTAAAACCTCTGCCTTCCACTCAGGTCATGATCCCAGGGTCCTGGGATCGAGTCCCTCGTCGGGCTCTCTGCTTAGCAGGGAGCCTGCTTCCCTTCCTTTTGCTGCCTCTCTGCCTACTTGTGATCTGTCAAATAAATAAACAAAATCTTTAAAAGAGAGTCATGCCCAGATTCAGAGAGACTGGGCATCAAGAGGAGACCAGCTGTGTGACCTTGGGCAAGTTACTTTGTTTTTCTCTGTCTCTGTTTTTCCTTCCATGAAACAGGGATAGTAATAACATCAGCCTCACGGTGGTTGGGAGGACAAGATGGTGCTAAACGCGTCATGAGGGCACGGTCTAGTGCATAAATACGTTAACCATTATGGCGCCTCTCCTTGTGAAATGGTAGTGATAGTAAAGTGATAAATGATGGACGAGTACCACGTGTGGGAGCATGGGGCAGTGTGGTGACTCGCCGCACGGCAGGTTTTGTGTAAAGACCCCTCCAGCAGTTCGGATGCGGTGAGCTCACTTTGAACAAGAGAGGTCCAGGACGCGCTCCTCCAAGAATGTGCTGGACTTGGAGTCTGGGTGAGGCTGGGCGTTTACAAGGAGCCAGCTGTTTGTCCTTTCCGCAGAGAAAAGAACGAGAGGAAATGACTCTCTCCGTTCTCCGTTCTACTCAAGCCAAACGGTAATAAACTTTGATGGACCGTCCAAGTCCTGAATCAAAGCCGAAATCAGCGTCCCCACGTCCCCGCGGCCAGCCCTGGCCTTCTTTCCAGCGGTAGGGTTAGTACATGATCGTGAGTACCTGGAGGTCCTCTTGGTATAAACTATCTTTGGGGCATCGATGTGGTTTTTAATCCTGTCCCCGGGCTCAATGCTGATGGCACTGCCATTTGGCAGTGGGGGCACACCTGGGTCTGAGGTTTGGGTTTGGTGAGCTCTCCGAAGACCGTGTCTGCAGTGGGGGGCGAGCACAAGGCAGAGTGCCGGGGGAGTACAAAGGGGGGCACGGAATTATTGGGGGGAAGGTGATAATTGGAGGATGTTGAAATCTGGAGGATGAGCAGGTGAGGGTCAGTCGGGTTATAACCTCCTTGCCACGGCCGTCTCCAGGCCTTCGCACCCCTCCTTCTCCCCAGGAAGCATTTTTTTTCCTCGGCCTTAATGAATGCTCCGAGGCGAGGTTTCCAGAAGCCAGAGATGGGTTATCTGCAGCTGGCCTGAGGCAGGAAACTCACATTTTCCTTCTCTCTCCAACCACTTCTGTTCTTGTTGGGAGGGAGGCGGCGTGGAGGAAACCCCAGAGATTTTCAAGGAAAGAGGTTCCAAGAACTGCGCTTGGTCTTTGACGGGTCTGAGTTGAAACGCCCTTCTCCTGAGTCATTTGGCTGCCTGAGCCCCTCCATGCCCCGAAGGGAAACGCA